CCATGTCATAGAACCTGAAAATAAATGGAGAAAAAACGATTTTCGACGTTTTATATAGCAAACAAGCCTTTCTGAACAACGAAAACGTCGGTTTAAAAACCCACAAAATTGGCATTTTTCCAAAGGGGTTAGTCCATGGTGTTGGTCAAAAATGTTAATTTTGTTTACGTTTCGTTTTATGCAAAATACACCCAGAAAAAGTATTTGGTCACGTTCTCGTTAGAAAACAAGCGTTTTTAGACAATATAAACATGTATTTAAAAAGAAGGCAAAATTGGCATTTTTGCAAAGGGGATAGTCCATGATGTTGGTCAAAAAGTTGAAGTTTTTTCATCTTTTCTGCTTATCAAAAATAAATCGAGAAAAACTGTTTGCTGACGTTCTAGATAAAAAAGAAGACTTTAAAGACTATAAAAACAACTGTTTACGAAAAACGCAAAATTAGCATTTTTCCAAAGGGGTTAGTCCGTCGTTTTCGTCAAAAATTTGAGATTTGTTCAACTTTGATTTTTCTGCAAAATAGATCAAGAAAAAGTATCTGGGAACTTTCTAGTTAGAAAAAAGTTTCTATAATTCTTTGTAACCCTCTGTAACCCCTTGTCACCCCTTGTAACCCCCTGTAACCCCTTGTAACCCTTTGTAACCCCCTGTAACCCCTTGTCACCCCCTGTCACCCTTTGTAACCCCTTGTAACCCCCTGTAACCCCTGTATTCCCATGTCATAGAACCCGAAAATAAATCGAAAAAAAACGATTTTCGACGTTTTATATAGCAAACAAGCCTTTCTGAACAACGAAAACGTCGGTTTAAAAACCCACAAAATTGGCATTTTTCCAAAGGGGTTAGTCCATGGTGTTTGTCAAAAATGTTAATTTTGTTTACGTTTCGTTTTATGCAAAATACACCCAGAAAAAGTATTTGGTCACGTTCTCGTTAGAAAACAAGCGTTTTTAGACAATATAAACATGTATTTAAAAAGAAGGCAAAATTAGCATTTTTCCAAAGGGGTTAGTCCGTCGTTTTCGTCAAAAATTTGAGATTTGTTCAACTTTGATTTTTCTGCAAAATAGACCAAGAAAAAAAGTATCTGGGAACATTTTAGTTAGAAAAAGTTTCTATAATCCTTTGTAACCCTCTGTAACCCCTTGTCACCCCTTGTAACCCCTTGTAACCCTTTGTAACCCCCTGTAACCCCTTGTAATCCCCTGTAACCCCTTGTCACCCCCTTGTCACCCTTTGTAACCCCTTGTAACCCCCTGTAACCTCTGTATTCCCATGTCATAGAACCTGAAAAGAAACGCAGAAAAAACGATTTTCGACGTTTTATATACCAAACAAGCGTTTCTGAACAACGAAAACGTCGGTTTAAAAACCCACAAAATTGGCATTTTTCCAAAGGGGTTAGTCCATGGTGTTGGTCAAAAATGTTAATTTTGTTTACGTTTCGTTTTATGCAAAATACACCCAGAAAAAGTATTTGGTCACGTTCTCCTTAGAAAACAAGCCTTTTTAGACAATATAAACATGTATTTAAAAAGAAGGCAAAATTGGCATTTTTGCAAAGGGGATAGTCCATGATGTTGGTCAAAAAGTTGAAGTTTTTTCATCTTTTCTGCTTATCAAAAATAGATCGAGAAAAAGTGTTTGCTGACGTTCTAGATAAAAAAGCAGACTTTAAAGACTATAAAAACAACTGTTTACGAAAAACGCAAAATTAGCATTTTTCGAAAGGGGTTAGTCTGTCGTTTTCGTCAAAAATTTGAGATTTGTTCAACTTTGATTTTTCTGCAAAACAGACCAAGAAAAAGTATCTGGGAACGTTCTAGTTAGAAAAAAGTTTCTATAATCCTTTGTAACCCTCTGTAACCCCTTGTCACCCCTTGTAACCCCCTGTAACCCCTTGTAACCCTTTGTAACCCCCTGTAACCCCTTGTAATCCCCTGTAACCCCTTGTCACACCCTGTCACCCTTTGTAACCCCTTGTAACCCCCTGTAACCCCTGTATTCCCATGTCATAGAACCTGAAAATAAATCGAGAAAAAACGATTTTCGACCTTTTATATAGCAAACAAGCCTTTCTGAACAACGAAAACGTCGGTTTAAAAACCCACAAAATTGGCATTTTTCCAAAGGGGTTAGTCCATGGTGTTGGTAAAAAATGTTAATTTTGTTTACGTTTGTTTTATGCAAAATACACCCAGAAAAAGTATTTGGTCACGTTCTTGTTAGAAAACAAGCGTTTTTAGACAATATAAACATGTATTTAAAAAGAAGGCAAAATTGGCATTTTTGCAAAGGGGATAGTCCATGATGTTGGTCAAAAAGTTGAAGTTTTTTCATCTTTTCTGCTTATCAAAAATAGATCGAGAAAAGAGTGTTGTCTGACGTTCTAGATAAAAAAGCAGACTTTAAAGACTATAAAAACAACTGTTTACGAAAAACGCAAAATTAGCATTTTTCCAAAGGGGTTAGTCTGTCGTTTTCGTCAAAAATTTGAGATTTGTTCAACTTTGATTTTTCTGCAAAACAGACCAAAAAAAAGTATCGGAGAACGTTCTACTTAGAAAAAAGTTTCTATAATCCTTTGTAACCCTCTGTAACCCCTTGTCACCCCTTGTAACCCCTGTAACCCCTTGTAACCCTTTGTAACCCCTGTAACCCCTTTTGTAATCCCCTGTAACCCCTTGTCACCCTCTGTCACCCTTTGTAACCCCTTGTAACCCCTGTAACCCCTGTATTCCCATGTCATAGAACCTGAAAATAAATGGAGAAAAAACGATTTTCGACGTTTTATATAGCAAACAAGCCTGTCTGAACAACGAAAACGTCGGTTTAAAAACCCGCAAAATTGGCATTTTTCCAAAGGGGTTAGTCCATGGTGTTGGTCAAAAATGTTAATTTTGTTTACGTTTCGTTTTATGCAAAATACACCCAGAAAAAAGTTTGGTCACGTTCTCGTTAGAAAACAAGCAAGCAAGCAAGCAATATTTTTATTTGCCACACTAATTACAAAAAATATAGGAAAAGAAGAAGAAGAAAAAAAAAGAGGTGGCGAGGAGACCTAACAGAAACTATAGGAGCTTATGAGAGGTTAGGCCTCCTCGAACTATGAGCTAGAGCTGTTTCACATCAATTGAAGAGAAGAAGGCGAAAAGTCGAAGATGGAAAGATTTATAAACTGTTTTCATACTTACTCAATAATTTAATCTTCAGTTTTTTCTTAAAAGAGGAGAGGGATTGAGAGTTGATGATCTTGTTGTCAAGTGAATTAAAAAACTTAGGCCCTTGGAAAAAAGGGCGAGAACTTCTTCGTGTTTGTACGACAATACGGTAGACGGTAGGCCTGGGAATTTCTTGTATTGTAAGAGTGGAATTGATTGCTTTGAGAGAAATTGTTATTAAACTTTGGAGGTAAGAATGAATTTTTGCAAGAATACATAAATTGGCCCAGTTGAAGCAAATGGATATCATTAAATTTTAGTATACCGAGGTCCTTAAAGATGGGGTCAGTATGAGCATTAAAATGTGATTTATTAATAATTCTAATAATGCGCTTTTGCAGGATAACAAGGCGGCGGAGATTAGTTTTATAGGTCGAAGCCCAAACGATATTGCAGTAGTAAAAATAAGCATAAATTAAGGAATAGTAGAGCATACGTAAAGACGATTTAGGAAGAAAGAAGCTGCATCTAGATATTATACCGATTGACTTCGCAACTTTACTTGCAACGTGAGATATTTCCGACTTCAATTTAGGTTTTCATCCAAAATTACGCCTAGAAAATTTGTCTCCTTTACTTTAACAATATTTTGATTATCTATACTTATTTGAATATTACAAATTGAACGCTTTTGTCTTGGTTTGAAGACCATAAATTTAGTCTTTTAAGATTTAGAGAAAGCGTTTTTAGACAATATAAACATGTATTTAAAAAGAAGGCAAAATTGGCATTTTTGCAAAAGGGATAGTCCATGATGTTGGTCAAAAGTTAAAGTTTTTTCATCTTTTCTGCTTATCAAAAATAGATCGAGAAAAAAAGTGTTTGCTGACGCTCTAGATAAAAAAGAAGACTTTAAAGACTATAAAAACAACTGTTTACGAAAAACGCAAAATTAGCATTTTCCAAAGGGGTTAGTCCGTCGTTTTCGTCAAAAACTTGAGATTTGTTCAACTTTGATTTTTCTGCAAAATAGATCAAGAAAAAGTATCTGGGAACGTTCTAGTTAGAAAAAAGTTTCTATAATTCTTTGTAATCCTCCGTAACCCCTTGTCACCCCTTGTAACCCCTGTAACCCCCTTGTAACCCCTTGTAACCCCTTGTAACCCCCCAGTAACCCTTTTTAACCCCTGTAACCCCTTGTAACCCCTTGTCACCCCCTGTAACCCCTTGTCACCCCCTTTCACCCCTTGTAACCCCCTGTAACCCCTGTATTCCCATGTCATAGAACCTGAAAATAGATCGAGAAAAAAACGATTTTTGACGTTTTATATAGGAAACAGGCCTTTCTGAACCACGAAAACGTCGGTTTAAAAACTCACAAAATTGGCATTTTTCCAAAGGGGTTAGTCCATGGTGTTGGTCAAAAATGTTAATTTTGTTTACGTTCGTTTTATGCAAAATACACCCAGAAAAAGTATTTGGTCACGTTCTTGTTAGAAAACAAGCGTGTTTAGACAATATAAACATGTATTTAAAAAGAAAGCAAAATTGGCTTTTTGCAAAGGGGATAGTCCATGATGTTGGTCAAAACGTTGAAGTTTTTTCATCTTTTCTGCTTATAAAAAATAGATCGAGAAAAAGTGTTTGCTGACGTTCTAGATAAAAAAGCAGACTTTAAAGACTATAAAAACAACTGTTTACGAAAAACGCAAAATTAGCATTTTTTCAAAGCGGTTAGTCTGTCGTTTTCGTCAAAAATTTGAGATTTGTTCAACTTTGATTTTTCTGCAAAACAGACCAAGAAAAAGTATCTGGGAACGTTCTAGTTAGAAAAAAGTTTCTATAATCCTTTGTAACCCTCTGTAACCCCTTGTCACCCGTTTGTAACCCCCTGTAACCCTCTGTAACCCCCTGTAACCCCTTGTAATCCCCTGTAACCCCTTGTCTTCCCTTGTCACCCTTTGTAATCTCTTGTAACCCCCTGTATTCCCATGTCATAGAACCTGAAAATAAATGGAGTAAAGAGGATTTTCGACGTTTTATATAGCAAACAAGGCTTTCTGAACAACGAAAACGTCGGTTTAAAAACCCACAAAATTGGAATTTTTCCAAAGGGGTTAGTCCATAGTGTTTGTCAAAAATGTTAATTTTGTTTACGTTTCGTTTTATGCAAAATACACCCAGAAAAAGTATTTGGTCACGTTCTCGTTAGAAAACAAGCGTTTTTAGACAATATAAACATGTATTTAAACAGAAGCTAAAATTGGCTTTTTGCAAAGGGGATAGTCCATGATGTTGGTCAAAAAGTTGAAGTTTTTTCATCTTTTCTGCTTATCAAAAATAGATCGAGAAAAAGTGTTTGCTGACGTTCTAGATAAAAAAGCAGACTTTAAAGACTATAAAAAGAATTGTTTACGAAAAACGCAAAATTAGCATTTTTCTAAAGGGGTTAGTCTGTTGTTTTCGTCAAAAATTTGAGATTTGTTCAACTTTGATTTTTCTGCAAAACAGACCAAGAAAAAGTATCTGGGAACGTTCTAGTTAGAAAAAAGTTTCTATAATCCTTTGTAACCCTCTGTAACCCCTTGTCACCCCTTGTAACCCCCTGTAACCCCTTGTAACCCTTTGTAACCCCCTGTAACCCCTTGTCACCCCCTGTCACCCTTTGTAACCCCTTGTAACCCCCTGTAACCCCCGTATTCCCATGTCATAGAACCCGAAAATAAATCGACAAAAAACGATTTTCGACGTTTTATATAGCAAACAACCCTTTCTGAACAACGAAAACGTCGGTTTAAAAACCCACAAAATTGGCATTTTTCCAAAGGGGTTAGTCCATGGTGTTGGTCAAAAATGTTAATTTTGTTTACGTTTCGTTTTATGCAAAATACACCCAGAAAAAGTATTTGGTCACGTTCTCGTTAGAAAACAAGCGTTTTTAGACAATATAAACATGTATTTAAAAAGAAGGCAAAATTGGCATTTTTGCAAAGGGGATAGTCCATGAGTTTGGTCAAAAAGTTGAAGTTTTTTCATCTTTTCTGCTTATCAAAAATAGATCGAGAAAACGTGTTTGCTCACGTTCTAGATAAAAAAGCAGACTTTAAAGACTATAAAAACAACTGTTTACGAAAAACGCAAAATTAGCATTTTTCCAAAGGGGTTAGTCTGTCGTTTTCGTCAAAAATTTGAGATTTGTTCAACTTTGATTTTTCTGCAAAACAGACCAAGAAAAAGTATCTGGGAACGTTCTAGTTAGAAAAAAGTTTCTATAATCCTTTGTAACCCTCTGTAACCCCTTGTCACCCCTTTTAACCCCCTGTAACCCCTTGTAACCCTTTGTAACCCCTTGTAATCCCCTGTAACCCCTTCTCACCCCCTTTCACCCTTTGTAACCCCTTGTAACCCCCTGTAACCCCGGTATTTCCATGTCATAGAACCTGAAAATAGATCGAGAAAAAAACGATTTTTGACGTTTTATATAGGAAAAAAGCCTTTCTGAACAACGAAAACGTCGGTTTAAAAACCCACAAAATTGGCATTTTTCCAAAGGGGTTAGTCCATGGTGTTGGTCAAAAATGTTAATTTTGTTTACGTTCGTTTTATGCAAAATACACCCAGAAAAAGTATTTGGTCACGTTCTTGTTAGAAAACAAGCGTTTTTAGACAATATAAACATGTATTTAAAAAGAAGGCAAAATTGGCATTTTTGCAAAGGGGATAGTCCATAATGTTGGTCAAAACGTTGAAGTTTTATCATCTTTTCTGCTTATCAAAAATAGATCGAGAAAAAGTGTTTGCTGAGGTTCTAGATAAAAAAGAAGACTTTAAAGACTATAAAAACAACTGTTTACGAAAAACGCAAAATTAGCATTTTTCTAAAGGGGTTAGTCTGTCGTTTTCGTCAAAAATTTGAGATTTGTTCAACTTTGATGTTTCTGCAAAATAGACCAAGAAAAAGTATCTGGGAACGTTCAAGTTAGAAAAAAGTTTGTAAAATTCTTTGTAACCCCCAGTAACCCCTTGTAATCCCCCCTAACCCCTTGTCACCCCCTGTCACCCTTTGTAACCCCTTGTAACCCCCTGTAACCCCTTTATTCCCATGTCATAGAACCTGAAAATAAATCGACAAAAAACGATTTTCGACGTTTTATATAGCAAACAAGTCTTTCTGAACAACGAAAACGTCGGTTTAAAAACCCACAAAATTGGCATTTTTCCAAAGGGGTTAGTCCATGGTGTTGGTCAAAAATGTTAATTTTGTTTACGTTTCGTTTTATGCAAAATACACTTACAAAAAGTATTTGGTCACGTTCTCGTTAGAAAACAAGCGTTTTTAGACAATATAAACATGTATTTAAAACGAAGGCAAAATTGGCATTTTTGCAAAGGGGATAGTCCATGATATTGGTCAAAAAGTTGAAGTTTTTTCATCTTCTCTGCTTATCAAAAATAGATCGAGAAAAACTGTTTGCTGACGTTCTAGATAAAAAAGCAGACTTTAAAGACTATAAAAACAACTGTTTACGAAAAACGCAAAATTAGCATTTTTCCAAAGGGGTTAGTCTGTCATTTTCGTCAAAAATTTGAGATTTGTTCAACTTTGATATTTCTGCAAAACAGACGAAGAAAAAGTATCTGGGAACGTTCTAGTTAGAAAAAAGTTTCTATAATTCTTTGTAACCCTCTGTAACCCCTTGTCACCCCTTGTAACCCCCCGTAACCCTTTGTAACCCTTTGTAACCCCCTGTAACCCCTTGTAACCCCCTGTAACCCCTTGTCACCAGCTGTCACCCTTTGTAACCCCTGGTAACCCCCTGTAACCCCTGTATTCCCATGTCATAGAACTTGAAAATAAATCGAGAAAAAACGATTTTGGACGTTTTATATAGCAAACAAGCCTTTCTGAACAACGAAAACGTCTGTTTAAAAACCCACAAAATTGGCACTTTTCCAAAGGGGTTAGTCCATGGTGTTGGTCAAAAATGTTAATTTTGTTTACGTTTCGTTTTATGCAACATACACCCAGAAAAAGTATTTGGTCACGTTCTCCTTAGAAAACAAGCGTTTTTAGACAATATAAACATGTATTTAAAAAGAAGGCAAAATTGGCATTTTTGCAAAGGGGATAGTCCATGATGTTGGTCAAAAAGTTGAAGTTTTTTCATCTTTTCTTCTTATCAAAAATAGATCGAGAAAAAGTGTTTGCTGACGTTCTAGATAAAAAAGAAGACTTTAAAGACTATAAAAACAACTGTTTACGAAAAACGCAAAATTAGCATTTTTCCAAAGGGGTTAGTCTGTCATTTTCGTCAAAAATTTGAGATTTGTTCAACTTTGATATTTCTGCAAAACAGACGAAGAAAAAGTATCTGGGAACGTTCTAGTTAGAAAAAAGTGTCTATAATTCTTTGTAACCCTCTGTAACCCCTTGTCACCCCTTGTAACTGCCAGTAACCCCTTGTAACCCTTTGTAACCCCCTGTAACCCCTTCTCACCCCCTGTCACCCTTTGTAACCCCTTGTAACCCCCTGTAACCCCTGTATTCCCATGTCATAGAACCCGAAAATAAATCGACACTAAACGATTTTCGACGTTTTATATAGCAAACAAGCCTTTCTGAACAACGAAAGCGTCGGTTTAAAAACCCACAAAATTGGCATTTTTCCAAAGGGGTTAGTCCATGGTGTTGGTCAAAAATGTTAATTTTGTTTACGTTTCGTTTTATGCAAAATACACCCAGAAAAAGTATTTGGTCACGTTCTCGTTAGAAAACAAGCGTTTTTAGACAATATAAACACGTATTTAAAAAGAAGGCAAAATTGGCATTTTTGCAAAGGGGATAGTCCATGATGTTGGTCAAAAAGTTGAAGTTTTTTCATCTTTTCTGCTTATCAAAAATAGATCGAAAAAAAGAGCTTGCTGACGCTCTAGATAAAAAAGCAGACTTTAAAGACTATAAAAACAACTGTTTACGAAAAACGCAAAATTAGCATTTTTCTAAAGGGGTTAGTCTGTCGTTTTCCTCAAAAATTTGAGATTTGTTCAACTTTGATTTTTCTGCAAAATAGACCAAGAAAAAGTATCTGGGAACGTTCTAGTTAGAAAAAAGTTTCTATAATTCTTTGTAACCCTCTTTAACCCCTTGTCACCCCTTGTAACCCCCTGTAACCCCTTGTAACCCTTTGTAACCCCTGTAACCCCTTGTAATCCCCTGTAACCCCTTGTCACCCCCTGTCACCCTTTGTAACCCCTTGTAACCCCCTGTAACCCCTGTATTCCCATGTCATAGAACCTGAAAATAAATCGAGAAAAAACGATTTTCGACGTTTTATATAGCAAACAAGTCTTTCTGAACAACGAAAACGTCGGTTTAAAAACCCACAAAATTGGCACTTTTCCAAAGGGGTTAGTCCATGGTGTTGGTCAAAAATGTTAATTTTGTTTACGTTTCGTTTTATGCAAAATACACCCAGAAAAAGTATTTGGTCACGTTCTTCCTAGAAAACAAGCGTTTTTAGACAATATAAACATGTATTTAAAAAGAAGGCAAAATTGGCATTTTTGCAAAGGGGATAGTCCATGATGTTGGTCAAAAAGTTGAACTTTTTTCATCTTTTCTTCCTATCAAAAATAGATCGAGAAAAAGAGTTTGCTGACGCTCTAGATAAAAAAGCAGACTTTAAAGACTATAAAAACAACTGTTTACGAAAAACGCAAAATTAGCATTTTTCTAAAGGGGTTAGTCTGTCGTTTTCCTCAAAAATTTGAGATTTGTTCAACTTTGATTTTTCTGCAAAATAGACCAAGAAAAAGTATCTGGGAACGTTCTAGTTAGAAAAAAGTGTCTAAAATTCTTTGTAACCCTCTGTAACCCCTTGTCACCCCTTGTAATCCCCTTTAACCCCTTGTAACCCTTTACAACCCCCTGTAACCCCTTGTAATCCCCTGTAACCACTTGTCACCCCCTGTCACCCTTTGTAACCCCTTGTAACCCCCTGTAACCCCTGTATTCCCATGTCATAGAACCTGAAAATAAATGGAGAAAAAACGATTTTCGACGTTTTATATAGCAAACAAGCCTTTCTGAACAAGGAAAACGTCAGTTTAAAAACCCACAAAATTGGCATTTTTCCAAAGGGGTTAGTCCATGGTGTTGGTCAAAATTGTTAATTTTGTTTACGTTTCGTTTTATGCAAAATACACCCAGAAAAAGTATTTGGTCACGTTCTCGTTAGAAAACAAGCATTTTTAGACAATATAAACATGTATTTAAAAAGAAGGCAAAATTGGCATTTTTGCAAAGGGGATAGTCCATGATGTTGGTCTAAAAGTTGAAGTTTTTTCATCTTTTCTGCTTATCAAAAATAGATCGAGAAAAAGTGTTTGCTGAGGTTCTAGATAAAAAAGCAGACTTTAAAGACTATAAAAACAACTGTTAACGAAAAACGGAAAATTAGCATTTTTCAAAAGGGGTTATTCACTCGTTTTCGTCACAAATTTGAGATTTGTTCAACTTTGATTTTTCTGCAAAATAGACCAAGAAAAAGTATCTGGGAACGTTCTAGTTAGAAAAAAGTTTCTTTAATCCTTTGTAACCCTCTGTAACCCCTTGTCACCCTTTGTAACCCCCAGTAACCGTTTTTAACCCCCTTTAACCCCTTGTAACCCCTTGTAACTTCTTGTCACCCCCTGTAACCCCTTGTCACCCCCTTTCACCCCTTGTAACCCCCTGTAACCCCTGTATTCCCATGTCGTAGAACCTGAAAATAGATGGAGAAAAAAACGATTTTTGACGTTTTATATAGGAAACAAGCCTTTCTGAACAACGAAAACGTCGGTTTAAAAACCCACAAAATTTGCATTTTTCCAAAGGGATTAGTCCATGGTGTTGGTCAAAAATGTTGAAGTTTTTTCATCTTTTCTGCTTATCAAAAATAGATCGAGAAAAAGTGTTTGCTGAGGTTCTAGATAAAAAAGAAGACTTTAAAGACTATAAAAACAACTGTTTACGAAAAACGCAAAATTAGCATTTTTCTAAAGAGGTTAGTCTGTCGTTTTCGTCAAAAATTTGAGATTTGTTCAACTTTGATTTTTCTGCAAAATAGACCAAGAAAAAGTATCTGGGAACGTTCTAGTTAGAAAAAAGTTTCTATAATTCTTTGTAACCCTCTGTAACCCCTTGTCACCCCTTGTAACCCCCTGTAACCCCTTGTAACCCTTTGTAACCCCCTATAACCCCTTGTAATCCCCTGTAACCCCTTGTCACCCCCTGTCACTCTTTGTAACCCCTTGTAATCCCCTGTAACCCCTTGTCACCCCCTGTCACCCTTTGTAACCCCTTGTAACCCCCTGTATTCCCATGTCATAGACCCTGAAAATAAATCGAGAAAAAACGATTTTCGACGTTTTATATAGCAAACAAGGCTTTCTGAACAACGAAAACGTCGGTTTAAAAACCCACAAAATTGGCATTTTTCCAAAGGGGTTAGTCCATGGTGTTGGTCAAAAATGTTAATTTTGTTTACGTTTCGTTTTATGCAAAATACACCCAGAAAAAGTATTTGGTCACGTTCTCGTTAGAAAACAAGCGTTTTTAGACAATATAAACATGTATTTAAAAAGAAGGCAAAATTGGCTTGTTTCAAAGGGGATAGTCCATGATGTTGGTCAAAAAGTTGAAGTTTTTTCATCTCTTCTGCTTATCAAAAATAGATCGAGAAAAAGTTTTTGCTGACGTTCTAGATAAAAAAGCAGACTTTAAAGACTATAAAAACAACTGTTTACGAAAAACGCAAAATTAGCATTTTTCGCAAGGGGTTAGTCTGTCGTTTTCGTCAAAAATTTGAGATTTGTTCAACTTTGATTTTTCATTCAAACAGACCAAGAAAAAGTATCTGGGAACGTTCTAGTTAGAAAAAAGTTTCTATAATCCTTTGTAACCCTCTGTAACCCCTTGTCACCCCTTGTAACCCCCTGTAACCCCTTGTAACCCTTTGTAACCCCTTGTAATCCCCTGTAACCCCTTGTCACCCCCTGTCACCCTTTGTAACCCCTTGTAACCCCCTGTATTCCCATGTCATAGACCCTGAAAATAAATGGAGAAAAAACGATTTTCGACGTTTTATATAGCAAACAAGGCTTTCTGAACAACGAAAACGTCGGTTTAAAAACCCACAAAATTGGCATTTTTCCAAAGGGGTTAGTCCATGGTGTTGGTCAAAAATGTTAATTTTGTGTACGTTTCGTTTTATGCAAAATACACCCAGAAAAAGTATTTGGTCACGTTCTCGTTAGAAAACAAGCGTTTTTAGACAATATAAACATGTATTTAAAAAGAAGGCAAAATTGGCTTTTTGCAAAGGGGATAGTCCATGATGTTGGTCAAAAAGTTGAAGTTTTTTCATCTTTTCTGCTTATCAAAAATAGATCGAGAAAAAGTTTTTGCTGACGTTCTAGATAAAAAAGCAGACTTTAAAGACTATAAAAACAACTGTTTACGAAAAACGCAAAATTAGCATTTTTCGCAAGGGGTTAGTCTGTCGTTTTCGTCAAAAATTTGAGATTTGTTCAACTTTGATTTTTCTGCAAAACAGACCAAGAAAAAGTATCTGGGAACGTTCTAGTTAGAAAAAAGTTTCTATAATCCTTTGTAACCCTCTGTAACCCCTTGTCACCCCTTGTAACCCCCTGTAACCCCTTGTAACCCTTTGTAACCCCCTGTAACCCCTTCTCACCCCCTTTCACCCTTTGTAACCCCTTGTAACCCCCTGTAACCCCTGTATTCCCATGTCATAGAACCTGAAAATAAATCGAGAAAAAACGATTTTCGACGTTTTATATAAGAAACAAGCCTTTCTGAACAACGAAAACGTCGGTTTAAAAACCCACAAAATTGGCATTTTTCCAAAGGGGTTAGTCCATGGTGTTGGTCAAAAATGTTAATTTTGTTTACGTTTCGTTTTATGCAAAATACACCCAGAAAAAGTATTTGGTCACGTTCTCGTTAGAAAACAAGCGTTTTTAGACAATATAAACATGTATTTAAAAAGAAGGCAAAATTGGCATTTTTGCAAAGGGGATAGTCCATGATGTTGGTCAAAAAGTTGAAGTTTTTTCATCTTTTCTGCTTATCAAAAATAGATCGAGAAAAACTGTTTGCTGACGTTCTAGATAAAAAAGAAGACTTTAAAGACTATAAAAACAACTGTTTACGAAAAACGCAAAATTAGCATTTTTCCAAAGGGGTTAGTCTGTCGTTTTCGTCAAAAATTTGAGATTTGTTCAACTTTGATTTTTCTGCAAAACAGACCAAGAAAAAGTATCTGGGAACGTTCTAGTTAGAAAAAAGTTTCTATAATCCTTTGTAACCCTCTGTAACCCCTTGTCACCCCTTGTAACCCCCTGTAACCCCTTGTAACCCTTTGTAACCCCCTGTAACCCCTTGTAACCCCCTGTAACCCCTTGTCACCCCCTTTCACCCTTTGTAACCCCTTGTAACCCCCTGTAACCCCTGTATTCCCATGTCATAGAACCTGAAAATAGATCGAGGAAAAAACGATTTTCGACGTTTTATATACCAAACAAGCCTTTCTGAACAAGGAAAACGTCGGTTTAAAAACCCACAAAATTGGCATTTTTCCAAAGGGGTTAGTCCATGGTGTTGGTCAAAAATGTTAATTTTGTTTACGTTTCGTTTTATGCAAAATACACCCAGAAAAAGTATTTGGTCACGTTCTCGTTAGAAAACAAGCGTTTTTAGACAATATAAACATGTATTTAAAAAGAAGGCAAAATTGGCATTTTTGCAAAGGGGATAGTCCATGATGTTGGTCAAAAAGTTGAAGTTTTTTCATCTTTTCTTCTTATAAAAAATAGATCGAGAAAAACTGTTTGCTGACGTTCTAGATAAAAAAGAAGACTTTAAAGACTATAAAAACAACTGTTTACGAAAAACGCAAAATTAGCATTTTTCCAAAGGGGTTAGTCCGTCGTTTTCTTCAAAAATTTGAGATTTGTTCAACTTTGATGTTTCTGCAAAATAGACCAAGAAAAAGTATCTGGGAACGTTCTAGTTAGAAAAAAGTTTCTATAATCCTTTGTAACCCTCTGTAACCCCTTGTCACCCCTTGTAACCCCCTGTAACCCTCTGTAACCCTTTTGTAACCCCTGTAACCCCTTGTAATCCCTGTAACCCCTTGTCACCCCCCTGTCACCCCTTGTCACCCTTTGTAACCCCTTTGTAACCCCTGTAACCCCTGTATTCCCATGTCATAGAACCTGAAAATAAATGGAGAAAAAACGATTTTCGACGTTTTATATAGCAAACAAGCCTTTCTGAACAACGAAAACGTCGGTTTAAAAACCCACAAAATTGGCATTTTTCCAAAGGGGTTAGTCCATGGTGTTGGTCAAAAATGTTAATTTTGTTTACGTTTCGTTTTATGCAAAATACACCCAGAAAAAGTATTTGGTCACGTTCTCGTTAGAAAACAAGCGTTTTTAGACAATATAAACATGTATTTAAAAAGAAGGCAAAATTGGCATTTTTGCAAAGGGGATAGTCCATGATGTTGGTCAAAAAGTTGAAGTTTTTTCATCTTTTCTGCTTATCAAAAATAGATCGAGAAAACGTGTTTGCTTACGTTCTAGATAAAAAAGCAGACTTTAAAGACTATAAAAACAACTGTTTACGAAAAACGCAAAATTAGCATTTTTCCAAAGGGGTTAGTCTGTCGTTTTCGTCAAAAATTTGAGATTTGTTCAACTTTGATTTTTCTGCAAAACAGACCAAGAAAAAGTATCTGGGAACGTTCTAGTTAGAAAAAAGTTTCTATAATCCTTTGTAACCCTCTGTAACCCCTTGTCACCCCTTGTAACCCCCTGTAACCCCTTGTAACCCTTTGTAACCCCTTGTAATCCCCTGTAACCCCTTGTCACCCCCTGTCACCCTTTGTAACCCCCTGTAACTCCCTCTAACCCCTGTATTCCAATGTCATAGAAACTGAAAATAAGCGGAGAAAAAACGATTTTCGACCTTTTATATAGCAAACAAGCCTTTCTGAACAACGAAAAGGTCGGTTTAAAAACCCACAAAATTGGCATTTTTCCAAAGGGGTTAGTCCATGGTGTTGGTCAAAAATGTTAATTTTGTTTACGTTTCGTTTTATGCAAAATACACCCAGAAAAAGTATTTGGTCACGTTCTCCTTAGAAAACAAGCGTTTTTAGACAATATAAACATGTATTTAAAAAGAAGGCAAAATTGGCATTTTTGCAAAGGGGATAGTCCATGATGTTGGTCAAAAAGTTGAAGTTTTTTCATCTTTTCTGCTTATCAAAAATAGATCGAGAAAAACTGTTTCCTGACGTTCTAGATAAAAAAGAAGACTTTAAAGACTATAAAAACAACTGTTTACGAAAAACGCAAAATTAGCATTTTTCCAAAGGGGTTAGTCTGTCGTTTTCGTCAAAAATTTCAGATTTGTTCAACTTTGATTTTTCTGCAAAACAGACCAAGAAAAAGTATCTGGGAACGTTCTAGTTAGAAAAAAGTTTCTATAATCCTTTGTAACCCTCTGTAACCCCTTGTCATCCCTTGTAACCCCCTGTAACCCCTTGTAACCCTTTGTAACCCCTTGTAATCCCCTGTAACCCCTTGTCACCCCCTGTCACCCTTTGTAACCCCTTGTAACCCCCTGTAACCCCTGTATTCCCATGTCATAGAACCTGAAAATAAATGGAGAAAAAACGATTTTCGACGTTTTATATAGCAAACAAGCCTTTCTGAACAACGAAAACGTCGGTTTAAAAACCCACAAAATTGGCATTTTTCCAAAGGGGTTAGTCCATGGTGTTGGTCAAAAATGTTAATTTTGTTTACGTTTCGTTTTATGCAAAATACACCCAGAAAAAGTATTTGGTCACGTTCTCGTTAGAAAACAAGCGTTTTTAGACAATATAAACATGTATTTAAAAAGAAGGCAAAATTGGCATTTTTGCAAAGGGGATAGTCCATGATGTTGGTCAAAAAGTTGAAGTTTTTTCATCTTTTCTGCTTATCAAAAATAGATCGAGAAAAAGTGTTTGCTGATGTTCTAGATAAAAAAGAAGCCTTTAAAGACTATAAAAACAACTGTTTACGAAAAACGCAAAATTAGCATTTTTCCAAACGGGTTAGTCTGTCGTTTTCGTCAAAAATTTGAAATTTGTTCAACTTTGATTTTTCTGCAAAACAGACCAAGAAAAAGTATCTGGGAACGTTCTAGTTAGAAAAAAGTTTCTATAATCCTTTGTAACCCTCTGTAACCCCTTGTCACCCCTTGTCACCCCTTGTAACCCCCTGTAACCCCTTGTAACGCTTTGTAACCCCTTGTAACCCCTTGTAATCCCCTGTAACCCCTTGTCACCCGCTGTCACCCTTTGTAACCCCTTGTAACCCCCTGTAACCCCTGTATTCCCATGTCATAGAACCTGAAAATAGAGCGAGAAAAAACGATTTTCGACGTTTTATATAGCAAACAAGCCTTTCTCAACAAGGAAAACGTCGGTTTAAAAACCCACAAAATTGGCATTTTTCCAAAGGGGTTAGTCCATGGTTTTGGTCTGAAATTTGTAATTTTGTTAACGTTTCGTTTTATGCCAAATACACCCAGAAAAAGTATTTGCTGACGTTCTCGTTAGAAAACAAGCGTTTTTACACAATATAAACATGTATTTAAAAAGAAGGCAAACTTGGCATTTTTGCAAAGGGGATAGTCCATGATGTTGGTCAAAAAGTTGAAGTTTTTTCATCTTTTCTGTTTATCAAAAATGGATCGAGAAAAAGTGTTTGCTGACGTTCTAGATAAAAAAGAAGCCTTTAAAGACTATAAAAACAACTGTTTACAAAAAACGCAAAATTAGCATTTTTCCAAAGGGGTTAGTCCGTCGTTTTCGTCAAAAATTTGAGATTTGTTCAACTTTGATTTTTCTGCAAAATAGACCAAGAAAAAGTATTTGGGAACGTTCTAGTTAGAAAAAAGTTTCTATAATCCTTTGTAACCCTCTGTAACCCCTTGTCACCCCTTGTAACCCCCTGTAACCCCTTGTAACCCCCTGTAACCCCTTGTAATCCCCTGTAACCCCTTGTCACCCCCTGTCACCCCTTGTAACCCCTTGTAACCCCCTGTAACCCCTGTATTCCCATGTCATAGAACCTGAAAATAGATCGAGAAAAAACGATTTTCGACGTTTTATATAGCAAACAAGCCTTTCTCAACAACGAAAACGTCGGTTTAAAAACCCACAAAATTGGCATTTTTCCAAAGGGGTTAGTCCATGGTGTTGGTCAAAAATGTTAATTTTGTTTACGTTTCGTTTTATGCAAAATACACCCAGAAAAAGTATTTGGTCACGTTCTCGTTAGAAAACAAGCGTTTTTAGACAATATAAACATGTATTTAAAAAGAAGGCAAAATTGGCATTTTTGCAAAGGGGATAGTCCATGATGTTGGTCAAAAAGTTGAAGTTTTTTCATCTTTTCTGCTTATCAAAAATAGATCGAGAAAAAGTGTTTGCTGACGTTCTAGATAAAAAAGAAGCCTTTAAAGACTATAAAAACAACTGTTTACGAAAAACGCAAAATTAGCATTTTTCCAAAGGGGTTAGTCCGTCGTTTTCGTCAAAAATTTGAGATTTCTTCAACTTTGATTTTTATGCAAAATAGACCAAGAAAAAGTATCTGGGAACGTTCTAGTTAGAAAAAAGTTTCTATAATCCTTTGTAACCCTCTGTAACCCCTTGTCACCCCTTGTAACCCTTTGTAACCCTGTAACCCCTTGTAACCCCCTGTAACCCCTTGTCACCCCCTGTCACCCCTTGTAACCCCTTGTAACCCCCTTTATCCCCTGTATTCCCATGTCATAGAACCTAAAAATAGATCGAGAAAAAACGATTTTCGACGTTTTATATAGAAAACAAGCCTTTCTCAACAACGAAAACGTCGGTTTAAAAACCCACAAAATTGGCATTTTTCCAAAGGGGTTAGTCCATGGTGTTGGTCAAAAATGTTAATTTTGTTTACGTTTCGTTTTATGCAAAATACACCCAGAAAAAGTATTTGGTCACGTTCTTGTTAGAAAACAAGCGTTTTTAGACAATATAAACATGTATTTAAAAAGAAGGCAAAATTGGCATTTTTGCAAAGGGGATAGTCCATGATGTTGGTCAAAAAGTTGAAGTTTTTTCATCTTTTCTGTTTATCAAAAATAGATGGAGAAAAAATGTTTGCTGACGTTCTAGATAAAAAAGAAGACTTTAAAGACTATAAAAACGACTGTTTCGAAAAACGCAAAATTAGCATTTTTCCAAAGGGGTTAGTCCGTCGTTTTCGTCAAAAATTTGAGATTTGTTCAACTTTGATTTTTCTGGAAAATAGATCAAGAAAAAGTATCTGGGAACCTTCTAGTTAGGAAAAAGTTTCTATAATTCTTTGTAACCCTCTGTAACCCTCTGTAACCCTTGTCACCCCTTGTAACCCCCTGTAACCCCTTGTAACCCTTTGTAACCCCTTTGTAACCCCTTTGTAACCCCCTGTAACCCCTTGTCACCCCCTGTCACCCTTTGTAACCCCTTGTAACCCCTGTATTCCCATGTCATAGAACCTGAAAATAAATCGAGAAAAAACGATTTTCGACGTTTTATATAGCAAACAAGCCTTTCTGAACAACGAAAACGTCGGTTTAAAAACCCACAAAATTGGCAATTTTCCAAAGGGGTTAGTCCATGGTGTTGGTAAAAAAAATTAATTTTGTTTACGTTTCGTTTTATGCAAAATACACCCAGAAAAAGTATTTGGTCACGTTCTCGTTAGAAAACAAGCGTTTTTAGACAATATAAACATGTATTTAAAAAGAAGGCAAAATTGGTATTATTGCAAAAGGGATAGTCCATGATGTTGGTCAAAAAGTTGAAGTTTTTTCATCTTTTCTGCTTATCAAAAATAGATCGAGAAAAAGAGTTTGCTGACGTTCTAGATAAAAAAGAAGACTTTAAAGACTATGAAAACAACTGTTTACCAAAAACGGAAAATTAGCATTTTTCTAAAGGGGTTAGTCTGTCGTTTTCGTCAAAAATTTGAGATTTGTTCAAATTTGATTTTTCTACAAAATAGACCAAGAAAAAGTATCTGGGAACGTTCTAGTTAGAAAAAAGTTTCTATAATCCTTTGTAACCCTCTGTAACCCCTTGTCACCCCTTCTAACCCTTTGTAACCCCCTGTAACCCCTTGTAACCCCCTGTAACCCCTGTAACCCCTTGTAACCCCCTTGTCACCCCTGTCACCCTTTGTAACCCCTTGTAACCCCTTGTAACCCCCTGTATTCCCATGTCATAGAACCTGAAAATAGATCGAGAAAACACGATTTTCGACGTTTCATATAGCAAACAAGCCTTTCTGAACAACGAAAACGTCGGTTTAAAAACCCACAAAATTGGTATTTTTCCAAATGGTTAGTCCATGGTGTTGGTCAAAAATTTTAATTTTGTTTAAGTTTCGTTTTATGCAAAATACACCCAGAAAAAGTATTTGCTGACGTTCTCATAAGAAAACAAGCGCTTTTAGACAATATAAACATGTATTTAAAAAGAAGGCAAAATTGGCATTTTTGCAAAGAGCATAGTCCATGATGGTGGTACAAAAGTTAAAGTTTTTTCATCTTTTCTGCTTATCAAAAATAGATCGAGAAAAAGTGTTTGCTGACGTTCTAGATAAAAAAGAAGCCTTTAAAGACTATAAAAACAACTGTTTACGAAAAACGCAAAATTAGCATTTTTCCAAAGGGGTTAGTCCGTCGTTTTCGTCAAAAATTTGAGATTTGTTCAACTTTGATTTTTCTGCAAAATAGACCAAGAAAAAGTATCTGGGAACGTTCTAGTTAGAAAAAAGTTTCTATAATCCTTTGTAACCCTCTGTAACCCCTTGTCACCCCTTGTAACCCCCTTTAACCCCTTGTAACCCTTTGTAACCCCCTGTAACCCCTGGTAACCCCCTGTAACCCCTTGTCACCCCCCTGTCACCCCTTGTCACCCCCTGTAACCCCTGTATTCCCATGTCATAGGACCTGAAAATAGATCGAGAAAAAACGATTTTTGACGTTTTATATAGCAAACAAGCCTTTCTGAATAACGAAAACGTCGGTTTAAAAACCCACAAAATTGGCATTTTTCCAAAGGGGTTAGTCCATGGTGTTGGTCAAAAATGTTAATTTTGTTTACGTTTCGTTTTATGCAAAATACACCCAGAAAAAGTATTTGGTCACGTTCTCGTTAGAAAACAAGCGTTTTTAGACAATATAAACATGTATTTAAAAAGAAGGCAAAATTGGCATTTTTGCAAAGGGGATAGTCCATGATGTTGGTCAAAAAGTTGAAGTTTTTTCATCTTTTCTGCTTATCAAAAATAGATCGAGAAAAAGAGTTTGCTGACGTTCTAGATAAAAAGAAGACTTTAAAGACTATAAAAACAACTGTTTACGAAAAACGCAAAATTAGCATTTTTCCAAAGGGTTAGTCCGTCGTTTTCGTCAAAATTTGAGATTTGTTCAACTTTGATTTTTCTGCAAAATAGATCAAGAAAAAGTATCTGGGAACGTTCTAGTTAGAAAAAAGTTTCTATAATCCTTTGTAACCCTCTGTAACCCCTTGTCACCCCTTGTAACCCCTGTAACCCCTTGTAACCCTTGTAACCCCTTGTAACCCTTGTAACCCCCTGTAACCCCTTTGTCACCCCTGTCACCCTTTTGTAACCCCTTGTAACCCCTGTAAACCCCTGTATTCCCATGTCATAGAACCTGAAAATAAATCGAGAAAAAACGATTTTCGACGTTTTATATAGCAAACAAGCCTTTCTGAACAACGAAAACGTCGGTTTAAAACCCACAAAATTGGCATTTTTCCAAAGGGGTTAGTCCATGGTGTTGGTCAAAATGTTAATTTTGTTTACGTTTCGTTTTATGCAAAATACACCCAGAAAAAGTATTTGGTCACGTTCTCCTTAGAAAACAAGCGTTTTTAGACAATATAAACATGTATTTAAAAAAAGAAGGCAAAATTGGCATTTTTGCAAAGGGGATAGTCCATGATGTTGGTCAAAAGTTGAAGTTTTTTCATCTTTTCTTTATCAAAAATAGATCGAGAAAAACGTTTGCTGACGTTCTAGATAAAAAAAGAAGACTTTAAAGACTATAAAAACAACTGTTTACGAAAAACGCAAAATTAGAATTTTTTCCAAAGGGGTTAGTCCATCGTTTTCGTCAAAATTTGAGATTTGTTCAACTTTGATTTTTCTGCAAAATAGACCAAGAAAAAAAGTATCTGGGAACGTTCTAGTTAGAAAAAGTTTCTATAATCCTTTGTAACCCTCTGTAACCCCTTGTCACCCCTTGTAACCCCTGTAACCCCTTGTAACCCCTTTGTAACCCCTTGTAACCCCTTGTAACCCCTTGTAACCCCTTGTCACCCCCCCTGTCACCCTTTGTAACCCCTTTGTAACCCTGTATTCCCATGTCATAGAACCTGAAAATAAATCGAGAAAAACGATTTTCGACGTTTTATATAGCAAACAAGCCTTTCTGAACAACGAAAACGTCGGTTTAAAAACCCACAAAATTGGCATTTTTCAAAGGGTTAGTCCATGGTGTTGGTCAAAAATGTTAATTTTGTTTACGTTTCGTTTTATGCAAAATACACCCAGAAAAAGTATTTGGTCACGTTCTCGTTAGAAAACAAGCGTTTTAGACAATATAAACATGTATTTAAAAAGAAGGCAAAATTGGCATTTTTGCAAAGGGGATAGTCCATGATGTTGGTCAAAAAGTTGAAGTTTTTTCATCTTTTCTGCTTATCAAAAATAGATCGAGAAAAAACTGTTTGCTGACGTTCTAGATAAAAAAAGAAGACTTTAAAGACTATAAAAAAACAACTGTTTACGAAAACGCAAAATTAGCATTTTTCCAAAGGGGTTAGTCCGTCGTTTTCGTCAAAAATTTGAGATTTGTTCAACTTTGATTTTTTTGCAAAACAGACCAAGAAAAAGTATCTGGGAACGTTCTAGTTAGAAAAAAAGTTTCTATAATCCTTTGTAACCCTCTGTAACCCCTTGTCACCCCTTTAACCCCCTGTAACCCCTTTGTAACCCCTTGTA